ATTAATTCAGTAAGGTAAACTCAGTAAGAACTCTTCATTGCACCCAAGAAAGAACTGACAACCACCATATTGCTAGACCATGTAACTACAGGCAGTTAGTGACTACAGTTCTATTTCAAGGGACATTTAACCCAGGATCTATCTAAATCAGTATAGTTAGGAGACAAGTCATAACATCATTCAATTGAATTTTCTCATTAACATTACCACTTAATAAGGAGAAAAAAAGTCAAGAGTTGTCACTGCTTAGAAAGTTCAACAAAGCATGTGGAAATATGTTAGTGAATATCTTTACCATAAGTTAGACGTCAGTTTTCTTACTGTTTCCTTGACAGATGTGCTTTGAGAAGACTTTGTCAGCAAAGAAGCAGCTTCACAGCCGCCACTCACAGAAACTCCGGCTTTGTGTCCAGAACTTGGATCTGAGTCTTCCACTGGTACACTGGGCAAAAGTAAGCTGAGGTTTATACAGTCAGAGTAGGAATCACATCAGATACTAACAGACTCAGAAACCGCAACATACGACGAAGTGGGAATACACACCGAAGGAAAGCAGGGACATAGGTGTAATGCTGAACAGTCTTTTATATAGGTATAGAAGATCCATTCTCAAGTAGAAGAATTACTATTTACTCCTGACAAATCTTGTTCCAAGGTTTTTGGGTGGCCACAATTAAATAAAATTGGTGGTGATTTATTCCTAACAACGGTAGTCATACACCATTTGTCTCTTATTTGCCAAAAGAGGCTTTTAAACTAAAGTTCTAGTTTAGCCTGGGAGGAGGTATGTACAGAAATAAAACAAAAAAAGGGCAGAGTCAACTGAAAAAAAAGTTATTCCAATCTGGAGGAAGAAGTGCTCCAGGTAAACTGGAATGGCTGGGAAGAAACACGGGGCTGGTGGAGGGAGGACGGGGCGCCGGCGGAGGGAGAGGCTGAGGGCGGTGACAGCCTTGGCGGGCCCGGAGCCGACGGGACGCCGGGCAGGCCCTACCGCTGAAGGGTTTCTTGCAGGCGTGGGAGGTGATCTGATCCGTGTCTTTAAAGTGTAACTGGCTACAGCGTGGAGAAGAGCTCACAATGAGGAATGCATAAGCAGTGCTGTGTGTTTGTGAAACCCAAGGCTTGTTCAGTGCAGCAGGAACAAGAAAGGTCAGGGCCGTTCAGCACTGGAAACAAAGCTGGGCGGGCAGGTGAGGGCAGGTCATGCAGGGTCGTGTTTGTAACTCTGAGGAGGTTTTTGTAAGCCTTTCACAACTGAGACGACAGAAATTAAAAAGGCAGCTCTAAAGAGTTTTATATTTCTGTACTGTATGGGCCTTTTAAAAACTGGATAACAGTTCATACCAAATGAAATGTGCTTCTACTGTCAACAGTTCTTGAACATTAATTATACTGTCTAACTTCAGCTGATGTTTCATTTAAGATGAGGAACATTATAATGCTTAATTGTCTGTTAAAGATACTTGCACAATGTCTGAATGCCCATTAACTATAACTTCCTTTATGCTGAAATTTTATTAAAGAAATCCTTTAAAAAAAATTTGTATCAGCTTTAGCATGCTGGAGATTTATGCCGGTGTTAGGAGTGGAAAGCAAAATGCACTACACCAGAGCACAGAGACTCCTCTCTGAGCCTCTGTTCCTCCTGCCAAAAACAGCAGTGCCTGCCTCACAGAGCTGTGCTGACAATTAAACAAGATACACACACACACACATACACACACACAATGTGTTTTAGTTTTTGGATGGATTTTAAATTTTAACTCAAATATTAATAAATAACTCTAGGTTAAAGCATTGTCCATAAAATGGCCGGCTTCACAACACTGGGGGAGCATTACATCATTTATTCACTCAATATTACAGAGTGGAGTCAGGTGCTATTCTGGATGCTAAAGATACACAGAGGTAAGCAAGACTGTCTCTGCTCTGGTGGAATGAGTTAGCTTCCAGTGAAAAAATACAGAAAATAAGCGAGAATGGACATCATGAAAAGAGACAGACAACAACGAGGTACTTTGAAATAGTAATAAGTGTTCTAGGAAAAACTAGGAAGATATGACTTGATACAGAAGTGGAGTAAGCTATTTTAGATGGAGTGGTAGGGAAAGACCTCTCAGAGGCTTGGGGTTGTGAAAAAGAAAAGACATGGCCCCTGTTCCTATAAAGGTCACGTGCAATGGAAGACAGATACTCAGACAGGCATTTCCACTTGACTGTGAAGCACTGCTCACCACTGTGTGTCAGACCGTAACAAATAATTATCGAATTTGAAAGATGTAATGTGATCTGTGAATACCTCAATTACCTGGGAGGGTCAGGGGGACCCAAAAGGAGGGAACACTCGAACTGAGGGTTGAATGAAAGGTTACAGATGGCGTATAAGTTTCAGAGGGCACTCAAAGCAAGGAGCGTGCACAGAAAATGAAGGCATGTGATAAAACTCAACTATTAGCAATTTAGAACCTCTGGGAAGCAAAGTGGGGGCTAAAGAGAGACAGCCAGGAGTGAAGGGTACCTGTGCCATGCTAAGGAGCTGATAATTTATCTTAACAGTGATGGGGCATGAAAGGCTTTTGGATAGAAGAGTGAAGTGATGGGGTGTGAGTGTTAAGAGTGGCCACTCTGTCAGCAAGTGCGGAACATAAAAGCGCCTCTGTTATTTTCTTGCACTTAATTCAATGAGCTCTTATGCAAAAAGAGCAGAGGGTTTGGATTCAGAGACACCGGGTCTGAATCCAAACCCGGTGTCTGAAAAGCTGCTTAGAGATCTGTAGTAAAGTGAGGGTAAGAGTTTGCTTCCTTGAAAACATGCTTTCCATTCCATTAGGTATCCAAAACACTCAGCTGATTTGACTTGAGAAGTCCCAAAAGTCTCGGGTCAAGAAAACTCTAGCATGCAGTGATTGTTATAACTGCATAGATGTGTGACAATTAGACAATGAACCCTACAAAAAAATCGGTTCATGATTTTAGTCATTCCTTATATATGTGACATTTTCCATTCTTGGACTACCATTGCAGTAATTTGAATTAGTTGCTTGCTGTGAGCAAGAAGTTAATCCTGTTCCATTTTATTATTCCCAATCCTCACAAAAGAAAATGAAGAGGTTTGGGGGAAAAAGAAGAAATTTAGTGCATTCTATTCTTTCTTGTCTCCTTTGTAAAATTTGGTTGTTGCTGATTGGGACTAATTCTTTTTTCTTTTTCTTTTTTTAAATATATCTTTATTGATTACAGAGAGAGGAAAGGAGAGGGAGAGAGAGAGAGATAGAAACATCAATGATGAGAGAGTCATTGATCGGCTGCCTCCTGCACGCCCCCAACTGGGGATCGAGCCCGTAGCCGGGCATGTGCCCTGACCGGGAATCAAACCCCGATCGCCTGGATCCTAGGTCGACGCTCAGCCGCTGAGCCACACCCGGCCAGGTGAGACTAATTCTTAATTGCCTTTGCTTGTTGCTATTATTTTCTTTCTTCTTGTGTTTAAACATTGATCATTGCTTTTCAACAGTATAATTTCACTCCCTTGGATTTTGTGTAACTGCAGTACACTCACCTGTATGAAGAGCTTCTCTTTAGTTCTGCAATATCACTGCACAGCTCCTGTTTTTCTTCAAAAGAACACAGACAAATGAAGACAGTCACTTTTTGATGATCACATAAGAGAGTAGTAAACTGAAGGAAGTGTTATCAGTCCATTAACTACTTGTATATAATTTGGCTTTGTATTCAAACATCCTTTTATAAAACTGCACCAATATGTTTTCGAGGCAATTTACAACCACCTTTTAAAAAATGTATATAGTATATATAATAACCCAAAGGCCTCTGTAACTTGCTTTTTGTTGTTTTTGTTTGTTGTTGTTTTAATCCTAACCCCAGGATATTTTTTCCACTCAGTTTTTAGAGAGTGGAAGGGGGAGAGAGAGAGAGAAACGTCGTTGTGAGAGAGACTCATCGATGGGTTGTGTCCCACCGGCACCCTGAATGGGGCCAGATATTGAGCCCGCAACAGAGGTACGTGCCCTTGACCAGGAATCGAACCCACCACTCTTCAGTCGTGAGCAGTCACTCTAACCACTGAGCCAAACCAGCCAGGGCTGTAACTTGCTTTTTTGTAATTTCTTTTTAGTGAAGCTCATTATCTGCTACTGCTGTGCATGGGGTGACTTGATTGAGACTGTTCAGATTCCCTTCTCTCGTCAGCCTCTGCCCAGACAACCACCTGTCTGTCTTCCCTCTGGTACCCTTCTCGATTCCATTCTGGGTTCAGGTTCAAAGACATCCTGACAGGTCCCAATCAGAAATGTGTCTCCAGCAGAGAATGTAACTTTAAAACAGCAAGAGACCTAGAGTCATCTAGTCGGTCATCTCAGAGAGCCTCAGAACTGCAGGTTCAGAGAAGTCAGTGATTTGTTTGCAGTCCGCAGAGAAGCAGAAATACTTTGATCCCTTGGATTGGTGTTAAGAGTGTTTGGGGACAGCATAAGGAATAAATCAAGGTGTCCTTCTATCTATCTCTAGAATTCTTTGTGATATCTGTCCAAATAGCTTGTTACCAAGTAAACCCTTGGCAACAAGTTTAGGACCATCAAAGGCCAAGTGGAACAGGACAGAACAAAGAGAGTTTTAGATGGTGGGTAAGTGGCTGAGGCTCTGCCGACTCCTTTAAGGAAATAATAAAAGAGAACAGACATACACAGGTTTTCCAAGCACATTGCAGGCACTGTTGGTTTTGCTCACAGACTTGCATACAGAGTGTAATTTTTTAATCCAACAGCCAACTAATCCATAATTATAGTCATTTGAAAATATTCCACAATTTGTTCTTTTTAAACCCAGATGACAGTTTGAAATTAAATATTAATTTTAGGATCAAAACTGTATTAACAATTTTTCCATCAGGATTTGGAAACCCAATAGGCACAGACTTGCAGGCCTGTTAATAGTTTAAAACTTCTGTAAAAGACTGGCTTTAAAATTCAGAGATCCTTACACAAGAAATCCTGATTGTGAAATTGCAAATTATTGTAATTAAGATGAAAAAGAAGAAGTGTGATTTCTTAGGGACCTCACTAATGAGTTCAAATATAAAGATGTGAATGAACGGCTGATTAGGTTGCCTAAGCAACGAAGTATGAAGGAAGGGAGAGCTTACAACCAAAAGTGAACACAAAATGATGGCACGGCCCTAGCCAGTTTGGCTCAGTAGTTGGAGCATCAGCCCACGGACTGAGCGTCTCAGGTTTGATTCCCGGTCAAGGACACATACCTTGTTTGCAGGTTCAGTCCCTGGCACCGGTTGGGGTGCGTGTAGGAGGCAACCAGTCAGTGTCTCTCTGTCTCTCTCTCCCTCCTTCCTCCCTTCTACTCTCTCTAAAGATCAATGGAAAAACTATCCTCGGGTAAGGATTAAAAAAAAAAATGATGGCATGGATCAATACAAAAAGGACTGTGAATAATGAAGCCAAAATGAGCTAAGATGTACTAATGAGGCAGTAAGACTTATTTCAGAATGACAATGAAAATAACGTACTTGCTGCTTAGGCCCAATGGTATAAAATTAAAATAAAAGAGAGAAGGCATAATAAAAGAATTATAGTAACAATAATGAAGGGACACTAAGAAAATAAAATTTTCTGAATCCGGTTTGTTTCCAGCTTCTCTGTCCAGGGAAATTGTCTTTAAATTGAATATCGTAAGATGGCAACTTTATGTTTAAAAAAAAAGTTCACGTCTCTTGCCTGAGACAAATTAGATCCCCAAGGACATGAAGGAACTAATAAATGGGACCACTCTTAGTGAACTCAGAGGAACCATGAAAAGTATGGAAAGGACTAAATGTCTGAAAACAAGGAAATGTCATTATAATTTTCAAAATAGATTCTGAAAATTACAGACCTGATACCAATCCTCAGCAAATTACGAAATGGAATTCAACGTGAAGGGTAACATAAGTCTACTGTTGGGAATTTCTGTCTGTGGTAGTGATGGGGCATGATTCTCAGGCAGGAGCCATCTCTCTGCCCCTTCCAAACACATGCGGTTGGTGGCTATCTACCCACCCCTCCTCCCACTTCTGGAAAGACAAGTTTAATTTTAATCCAAACTGCTGCCAAACTTCTGATCTATGTCCCATGTAGGATATGTCGCACAGTATATTGAAAGCAACTCAGACATAGCTAATATATATAAACCGAATTCTATATTTTTTACCTTTTTTCATCAGAGAATATTCCTTTTGTTCTTGTTTCAGTAAAACATTGTCAGCACTTTCATCTAAAATCTGAAAAACAAGCTCTTTATTTAAAGCTGTACAAAAACACAGGACATAGTATAGGGAGCAAAAATGACCTTGAACATCAGGGCCCACATCAGAGGAGAGACCACAGCATTGCCCGAAGTACAGTTTTATATGCATGTTATAAGGGGAGACAGTCGTGTGCTGTATAAAATTATACTGGCACAATTTCAAGAATGAGTGTGTTATAACTGTCACATTTACTTCTATAATTTTTTTAAAATATGTTTTTACTGATTTCAGAGAGGAAGGGAGAGGGAGAGAGAGAAAAACATCAATGATGAGACCCATCAATTGGCTGCCTCCCATGCGCCCCCTACTAGGAATCGAGCCCAAAACCTGAGCATGCGCCCTGACTGGGAATGGAACTGTGACCTCCCGGTTTATGGGTGGATGTTCAACCACTGAGCAACACCAGCCAGGCACTTCTATAATTTCTTTTAAGGGATGTTTACATTCTACCAATCTTTGTACTGATATTTTCAAAAATCTCTATCTTGCATAGGTATAACAATGACTCCTACAAATGTACCAAGTATTTGATTCGCCAGAAACAATGAAGGAGTCTCTCCGCTGTTTTGAAGAGGCTCATCACACCTCTGGTTGCTACAGGGCAGACACAAGGTGAGCTCAACAGCAGTGCAATGAAAACACCGGGAAGGTTGGAGGCTGGGGTTTGAGGCCCCAAAGCATGATGGGGGAGAATACGGGGATGGGGAGTGTACCTGGAGTGTTGAGGGAAAAGACACCTTGTGTCTTTTGACAGAAGCCCAGGAAATCTGTCTAAAAGGGGTTACAGAGCCTTAAGGTGCTGCATGCAGGAGCCAAGAGTGTTGGTGGCACCCGGGAGTGAGAGGATGTGTGTGAGAGGATATCAGGAGGGGGGCACGGGGAGGCTGGGAGAGTTGGGGAGTGTGGCATTTAGGAGCCAGGCCATCACTTTGGGAATCCCGTGAGACCCATTCAACAAGGCTCACACAAAGCAAACTTACATTTTGGGGATGTACTTCCTTGGGGTGAAAGAGACCGAGAGAGATACACAGATACAGGTAGATAGTTTATGACCTTCAGGAAAACAGACCCAGAATGATCCCCATATTATGTATCTTGTAAATCTTCAAAAGGTTGGGGAATGGGCAGTCAGAAAAGAAAATGGCAAAGGCAAAGGTAAGGCCAAGTCTTGTTGGCTCCCTGATCTGGAGACCCCTGAACACACAGGACACAGCCATGCTCCCGCTTTCCACTACCTGGTGGAAGGCGTGGAGCGCTCAGTTTTCTGGAGCTTGCCCACTGTGTGTATACACGCAGTCTGAATAATTGTAAGGGCAGTATTTATTAAAATACATTTCATTTTCAAAATTGAGCTATCAGCTGTTAAAGTGTGTCTACGTTTTTGGGGACACCTTGTATTTATATTTCATGCCCTCTCCGCAGTGCTACACAAACGTGGGAGGGAGAGCTACCGACCCTCCTTCTCTCCCGTCCCAGGACGCGGGCGTGCCCTGAACACGGGACGCTGGGAGCTGCTGTGGGAAAGCAGGTTAAATGGTCCTGCCTTCCTGGCATCGAAGGAACCGCGAGGCTGTCCAACATCGCCGTTTCCTAGCTCACCCAGATCGAGGGCAAGAAAAGGGCAGCGGAAAATAAATAAAACTGATTCTGAACTACTTCTAATTCATAATATTTTTGTACTTATACTGTAAATAAATTCATGCCCCGGGAAGTAAATGAAGTGCACATATTTTTACAAGTTCATTTTGCAAAATGACCTTAAAATGTATCTTACTTATTTCTGATGTATCGTAAAATTTAAAGGTTTCTTTGGATGTGCTGATATATAAGGAAAATCTACATACTTCTTCAAGTGCTTCTAACTCTGAACTAAATATATTTTGACCAGTTTATAAGCAGCATGGACTATTTCCCACAACAGTTAGTAGCAACCACAGATAAGCTCCCAGGAGGAACTATATGATGCTTTAAGTTATAACCCCTCTGCTATCATTCCATGATGATCCTCTTAGGGTGTGTTCGTTTTCTTTGGTGAAAATCTCTCTTACAATGAAAAACAGGCAAGAGAGGAGTCAAGATGAATGAAAATGACAGCAGTCCCAGCAGGGAACCTCTATTGGTGGTACTATTAACAGTCTCATCAAGTTATTTTTGCATTTTATTGTGTAGTTCTCTGCTTTGAGCTCTGCCTCTTGCAGGCTGTTTTCATGAAGATCAGATATGTCTCCTCACCCTTGAAACGTTACTTGTACAAAGCTTTACCATCTCTATCGCCAGAGCAATTTCCTTCTTTTCTTTTCCTTTCCAGTATTTTCTTTATTCTTTGCCATAGAAATGTTTAAAAGATTCTGGATAAATAATTCACAGCCTACAGTATTTCTTTTTAAATAACACCATGTAAATATCTGAGTTCCTGGGATGCTCCCTTCTATTAAAATGTACTTGGGGCTTTGAAGGTCTGAATTTTCTCAAGCTGAGACAAGAAGACAAGCAGTTAGTTGTCTTTTTAATGACACTATTTGTGTATTTTGCTACTACTTACAAAGCTCTTTCACAGATATCGCTGCATTTCATTAAAGAAATTTCTCCAGTCTGTTAGACTTAACTCTGCAGTTTAGGGATATCGTTTCCCTAAGATTTTATTCAGTCACTTAACAGATAACACTTCCCACACAGCAAATGAGATTATAGTTAAATCTTAACATGGGGCTTTCAATGCCTTAGTTAAAATTATGTTAACAATGAGTAGAGTGAGATGTGTCAGTTCCCAAGGGATGCAATGGATCAGCATCATACCACAAACTCAGTTTTGTGAAGTATCTGTTTAAGAGGATAAATACATCATAAATAAGTTAGAAAAAGGAAAATAACATACCAATCAGCTGTGTAACCCTTACCTGATCCAACCGCTATCAAGGAAGCTTAAGAACTGACAGGTATCACTTTATCTGGTTTCTTTCCTGCTGTTTCTTTGTTCCTTACCCTCCACCCCAAGCATTCATTATTGAGGACCCGTAAAGGCTACCAGACCAGTAAATGCCTTCCTGTCAAACTCAAACACCCTTTCTGTTCCCACTCCTCCCCAGTTAACATTATGTTCCAGGCTCCTCCCTTTCACTCATTAATCTGTTCAATAAAATTCATCCCTAGGATGGGTCAGACACTGTTATGGTGAAGAGACAAAGTTCCGCCTTTGGGGAGCTTATTTTCTAGGGAGGGGGGGTAAAAAATATGAAATCAATCAAAAAGATAAATATGCAATATAGTATCAGGTAATGTAAAATCCGCGAAGAAAAATAGCACAGGCTCGAGAAATGTCAGATGTAACTGAGCCCCGCGGCCTCTCTGGGCCTCGCTGTTCTCACCCCACACCCTCCATTTCTCCTCTCCAGCCACTTTCCCACAAGATCCAGTCTTCTCTCAAGGTCTTGACGTATTTGCTGTTCATTTGTTTGTGCCCCTGATTTTCTCTAGTCTCTCCTCAAACGTGCCCTCAGCGAGGCTCCCTTGCCCACTCTGTACAAAACTGAATCTCACCCTCACCACACCTAATGCCGTGACACCGCCTACCTGCTCCCTCTGCTTTGTTTTGCTCCTTAGGACTAACCATTGCCCGCCACGCACCATCTGCTGCTTCCTTGCCTTGCCCATTGTCTGACTGTCCCACTAGATTGGAAGCACATGAGGACAGGGAGAACTGTCTATTTTTTTCATGCTGCACCCCCATTTTCTAGGACAGAAACTGGCACTTGATATACTCACAGGATTGAAAAAGAAAGTGGTTTCTCCTCTTTCTAGTACTGCTCCATTATCACAACATTTTCACGGCACAGAGAATCATGCCTTTGGACAAAAATCTCCATGATTAAATGCTCTTTTCCAAAACCTTCTTAAAGCTCCCGACTGCTTTCTACCTCAAGTACAAACTTTATTTGGGAGCAGTGAGCTGGCCGGTAGCTCGGTGCCATGGAGCGTCCCCCTGCACACGGGATCACAGGTTCCGTCCCTGGTTGGGACGCAAGGCGCACGGGAGGCAACTGATTGGTGTCCCCCCCCCCATTCCTCTCTCTCTAAAAATCAATTTAAAAACATATCCTTGCGCGAGGATTAAAAAAAAAAAGCTCTTAGTTATCTGTGATTCTAAATTATCTAGACATAACTCCACACACACAGGGCCGCTTTCTAGCTCTCCCTTTTCTTCCACAAGCAATTTCACTCTCAATTTTCATACTTTATTCCCATATTCTGGCTCACCCAATAGAGGCTGAATTTGCTCCTTTTAGAATTACAGAAAACGGTTTAAAAATATATTTTTCATGATGCAAAAAAAATTATTTTCATTCTGTCACAAATTGTCTCACTCATTCTATAGCCTTGAGAGTAGGTAATATTATCATTCCCATTTTATAGATAAGAAAACAGAAGCTTGTACAGCATAAGGAATATAGCCAATAATATTGTAATAACTTATGTACGGGGCCAGGTGGGTACTGGAAATATAGGGGGAACGCTTTGTAAAGTCCATGGTTGTCAACCCTGCTGTACACTTGACACTAATACAAAATAATACTGAATGTAATTAAAAAATAAAATTTCTTTAAAAAAAGCAATCTCATTAAAGACCTAAAAATGAAAGGCAAAACTATGAAACTATATAAAAGAAGAAGACAGGAGATCAAAAGTTGATGCCACCGATAAGTGGCATGCAGGTCTCAATCTGAACCTGAGCTGGTCTATCAGAGTACGGAGCCTGTCTCCTTCCCACATTGCTATCGTGGTTTTGTAAAATTGTCTTCCAATTTCCTTCTCCTTAAGGCGAGGGCCTCATATTTCATTTTTTGGTGTCCCTCAAAATCTTTAACATGGTATTGTTGAATAAATTTTTCTTAATTGGTGCATGATTGCTGGTAGTTCGTACACTGGAACTTGAATATTTAGATTCATCGTAAGTCGCCCATGAGATTTTCCTTTAG